CTAATGTAACAAGTCCATCCACGGGCCAATGTGGATGGCATGGGCATGAGAAAGCAAACGGTGGACAGGCATGTTGCCGCAGTTCTGAAATCACGCCAATTGTCACAAATCTGCTCAAACCGCGTAAGCTGACCGGTGAACACACCTGCAGGCTGATGAGATGGAATGTTCGACGTTGCACTAGGATATCGTATAACAGGAAAATCCCATGCAACAGTCTTATCAAACACTCAATCGGAGAGATCCGTCAGCCCGTGTCTGCAGTTTCGCACCTAAAAAGGTGCACAAGCAATCAGCCACAGTGGTCTCTTTCCATTCAAGACCACAAGTGGACCCGCCGCAGCGTAGGAGAGGAACGAACAGGGGGACGGGGCTGTTGTTGTTACACTGCAGTTTTTTTTTTATTTTTTATTTTTTTGGTCGTCATATTCGCTATACACTCAAAAAAAACATGACTGTGGCAGACTGTTTCCTCTCTCTCTCTCTCTCTCTCTCTCTCTCTCTCTGTGTGTGTGAGTGTGTGTGTGTGTGTGTGTGTGTGTGTAACATACTTACACACGCGCGCGCACGCGCCCAGGCAGGGCCGCCTGAACAGTTTCATGTGTACATGAACCGAGCAGCCTTCGAATGCACAAAATGAGGAGGAGAGTATGGAGCAAAGGGCTGTGAGATGCAACCCCATCCTGAATCCCCTCCCCCTCCTTCTCCCCCTCTTTCTCCCACTCCTCCTCCCGCTCCTCCTCCCGCTCGTCCCACTCCTCCTCCTCCACCAAACAACGTGACAAAGATGCCGTCATAGCCCCGCTCCCGCTTCTTCTCCCGCTCCTCCTCTCTCTCCTCCTCCCTCTCTTTCTCCTGCTCCCTCTGTTGCTGCTCCTCCCGCTCCTGCTGCTGCTCGTCCTCCTTCCGCTGCTTCTGTTTTTCCCCCCGTTCCTCCTCCCCCTCCTCCCGCTCCTCTTCCCGCGCCATAGCCCTGCTCCCGGTCCTTCCCCGCTCCTTCTTCCACGCCTCCTCCCGCTCCTTCTCCCGCTCCTCCCACTCCTCCTCCTCCCCCTCCCGCTCCTCCTCCGCTAAACAACGTGACAAAGATCCCGCCATAGCCCTGCTCCCGCTCGTTCTCCTGCTGCTCCTCCCTCTCCTCCTCCTTCTCCTTCTCCCGCTCTCTCTCCTGCTGTTTCTTCTCCCGTTCGTCCTCGTGCTCCTCCTTTCGATGGTAGTTGCGCGAGGCCAGCCGCGACCTTGGAGACTTACCTGTTGCCGTACTCTCTCTCTCTCTCTCTCTCTCTCTCTCTCTCTCTCTCTCTCTCTC